AAGGATTTCTATTTTACCCTGTAGCGCTGACTTTAACCCTAGATTCTGACATGCTGATTGCATAATCCCAGCCTCCCACCCTGGAAATCCCAGGGATTGGGGCAAGGGGATTGTCTACAACAGATCCATAATTCACTGCAGTCCCAGAACAGAAAACAAGAGACAAAAGCCAGATTTAACCAACGGGACTACAAGAACAGCATATTTGGAATTGGTATGGAGAAGTAAAACTGGTGTGGATATGTGCCTGCTGACTCAGACACATGAGCCCCACGTGGAAACACGCCCCTGATGCACCCTCGCCCCACTGACATGAAGGCTATGGGCAGGGCATACCTCCTCACCGCACAATCCATCCTGCAGTCTTTGGGGAGAATTCCCAAAAATCCAAAGAGATGTATTGACATCTCCGAAAATTCCATTGTTTTACTGACAGCTTTAAAAGATCATCTTTTCTGGCTGTAAAATTACGTGTGACATTTTCGATATTATTTGTCATCCCAGAGGATGATCTCTTATAAGAACTGGAAAGACACCTTCATAAGGGGAAAACATGGGATCTGTACAACGCACTTTAATTATAGGACTTTTTTGTAACCAAATAGTCTTACTACAACACATGCACTGAAATCAGAGTATCTGAATGGAGTTAAAGCTGATCAAAAAGGAAAAAAATCTACACAAAAGGATTTTTATTAAGTGCCAACATCTTTTTCTTTTTTAAAGCAACTCTTACTTGGAATTGCCATTTCCAAAGGTAAAAATCAGCAGTGGTTTTCCAATCATACCCAGGAACATACGAAAGATACAAAAAAAGAAAACATAATCCAGTTTGAAAGGGCTCCTGTAGCTCAGCTGCTCTGTTTATACGCGGCGCAGCATGGGACTCATCCTCCCAGCTGCGGTACCCCGACCGCGGGATCAAAACGAGTCTCTTCCGGAGGAGCAGGGAGAAAGCGCTACAGAGCGCCACGCTGCGGCTGAACGGGTGCTCAAGGGAACTCTTTTGAGCACAAGCGCTCTCTCTTCTGGCCAAAGGCGGAATTGCGACGGAAAGTTAGGAACCTTCTGGTCCTAGTCCTGCGCGGAGCAGTGGGAAGAGCGGGGACGAGGAAGAGAGGCGCACTGGGCGCGAGGCGCAGGGGCGGGCGGAGGGTGTCCGGCCCGGCCGGATGGGGCGGGAGCCACTCCTGAGGGGACAAAGGAGGGGCCGCTCACAAGCGGCGGGTTTCGGGGCTGTCAAGCTCCAGACCTCGGCTCAGCAGGGCGGACCCAGGCGGCTGGCCTTTTAGTTGCTGCTGCGGTGACTCTGGAGCAACGCTCCTCCCGCCCGATCCACGCCGGTGTGTGGAGCCGCGTTCACCGCGCGCCAGCACCGCCGCCAGTGGACAGCGCGCGCCGCCCCGCCCACCAGCCGCGGGGGAATGGCGGGAACAGACAACGAAGCTCTGCAGGCCCCGCCCACCACACGAAAGAGGCGTGGCCGTAGCGGATAGCTCGGCTCTGCAGACCCCGCCCAGCACCCGGAGAGGGATTGGCGGGAACGGACTGCTCCCCCTGCAGGCCCCGCCCACCGCCCGAGGGAAGCCACCTCCCACCCCGTCTCTCAGTGGGGAAATTTTGGCGGGAGGCGGGGTGCGCACCAACCGCCGGAGTCACTAATGGCGCGGGTCTCCCGTGCTCCGCATGGGCCCGCCGCACCCGCCTGCGCGGGGTCTAAGGCCTCGGGCGCTGCGCTTGGCGACCACGCTCTCCCCGCTCCCCACGCACCACCTCGGCTGCTTCCGCCGCGGGCTCCCCGCACCCGCGACTGGGCCCCCGGGTCAAAGTGGGCTCAGACGCAGCCGTTCTAGGCCCGTTCCCGGCCGGGACATCGCGGCCGCGCTCATCCCGCAAGATGGCGCTGTCAGCCCGCGTCCTCCGCTGCGGGATCCTCGGCCCGCGGAGCGGTGCCTGTTCCCAGGCGGGGCCCTAACGCCTCGGTTCCGGAGCCTCCTCGCACCCTCAGACCCGGTTCTCGCCTGTCCGGGATGGCAGTGCCCTTTTTATTCCTACTTGGGTGGGTTTTTGGTTTTTGCTGAGGCTTATAAACTCGAGACCTCTTTAAGAAACGACTACTTTTCAGAGATGTTGTCTAGGGGTAGCTGGCTTTGGGTGTCTGAGTCTGCCGCAGAATTCTGTCTTTCCAATTTATTAGTGATGAAAGGTTGCTGCCTATTTGGCCTAGCACCCAGTTCTCTGGTACTGGACAACAGTATTGTTTATGACACCCAGACAATCTAGGTATTGGCATACAAGGAAAATCAATTGCTCACAACTATGTCACCTTGGCTAAAGTAGTACAATTAGTAATGACAATGGCATCTGGAAAATGACAAACTGTGCTGTTGATTTGTCACCTTTAACCATAGCTGCAAGGTTTATAACGATGTAACAAAATTAAGACAAATCAGAAAATTATATACAGTAGATACCATTCAATGGAAAAATTTTACCTTAAGGGGAAAAGTTTTTAAAGGGCTGAGAAAAAAATAGAAAAAGAAAAAGAGGCTATCATGACTTTCCTTGTGACAGTCTACTGTTTTTACAAGCATATATTTTTATCATGCTTTTTCCTCTTTTACTCAATCTTCTTTCTTCAGAGCTAGTTTCTCCCTCACTCTTCACTTTTACTTTTTTCAAATATACTTTGTCACTGCTTAAATTTAAGAGAGAGATTAAAAGCAAGGCTGAAAGACAGAGGAAGCTTACCCAAGCCTTGAGAAACTGGTGAGGAAGAGACAGGAGAGAAAGAAAGAAGAAATGAACACAAGAACAAAACAAAACAAGCCCCCTAAAAACAATGTTCACACACACAAAAAAAAACTTAAAAATGAACAATAATAAAAAACCCACAAGAGATGGGAGGAAAAAGAAGAAATGTATTGTAATCCCAAATGTTGAATAAAGTTATCCTTTTACCAGTCTTCCTCACAATCCAAAAAGTTACTGGATTATGATGTTATTGGAATCCCAGCAAGTTAATTCCAATCTGCCACCTCTAATGCAACCCATAGCGAGCATAAAGACACAAAGACATATTGCAAATTTAAGACAGCCAACGGGTCCTAAATCCAAACCCCAAGTGAAGATGTACAGACAAAGGCCCTGATTGTAGGCCTCCCCCAGAATTTATTATCAAGTGAAGAAGGGAGTGGTTCCAGGATGAGTGACAGTGAGGATGGCAGGAACTACGTAACTTGAGCTGGCTAGCCTGGTAGGGAGAAAATGTCATCTGGTAGGGAGAAAATCTACATCTCTGCAAAATGTAGAGATAAGAATATGCAGAAGGATCACTTTGCATAATTCAATTAAGATAGCAACTGAATTGTTTTAGGAGTCTGTTGCTTTGGTTTCTGATACGCAAATTTGTGTGCCCAGGCGACTCATAGCCTCCTTACCTTGAGGCTCATTCCCAGTTGACATTCCTGGAGCTGACTGGCTCTACCATCCCACTGTGCTTATATATTTTATAAAGAATACTATGCAAGGAAACAGGAGACTATCTGGTGGCTTTAAACATTACATACCAGTAGCCCGGCTGGTCTTATTCACAATGGTTACAGCCAATTGAAGACAGGAGAAAATACCATAGTCAGCTCTGTACGTATCAGTACAAGGAAATAAGTCTTCATACAATCAAAGTTGCACCAATTAGTCTGCATTCAAGCGGAGTCACTCAAGTTTTCTCCCACAGAAATTCATCTCTGATTTCAAGTCTGAGGTTATCTTCTGGGGTCTACAGTTTGGTGCTAGTGTCCAGTTCAGGATATGACTTGGCTCTTGTTGGTGGGCTAAGGAGGCAGTCAGAGCTCAGATCCATGCGGCAAAATCCCAGCAAACTTGCAGTAGTATTAGGACAGGAATCCTCTTCTAGTACTTCCAAATCCACAGAAGTTCAGGCTGAGCCTGGCCTCTGGTCATTGGATTGGGGCCTGAGTCATTTAGCTTATCAGACTCTGGATCCAGTTTGTTGCCTGACCATGGTTCCCTGACTCCAGTGTCTCCTATGATTGTCCCTACCCAGTCACTGTGGGTTTTTAATACTAGGGGCCCTGAAATGAAACCAAACCACAGCTGTTCTGAGTGCCTGGTGCAGTAGCCTTCCCGAAAGTGGCATCTGACCAAGCACCCTTTCCACAGGACATGGCAGTTGTTTGGACTAGAGAGCTCGCCAGCTATTGTAGCACACAACTTTCTCTGCTCCCTCCCACTGGTGCCTTTCTCCCTGGAGGCTTCTGGAGTCACCCGCTTTCACGTGTCTCTATAGTTAATCTTCCTTTCTAACACCATGAACCAGGAGGCAAGAAGGAAGTGCAAGTTGCCCCTTCCTTTTCTGTACTGTGGTCTGTCTCTTTGCTTCCTCTGTGGTCTACAATTTTCCCTTGAATCTCAGGGATCCACCTCTTTTTCGTCCTCAATTTGTTATTTTTCAAGAACAATGGGCATTGTTAGTGGATTCCCATCCTGGATTCTGAATCCTGGAGGGATTGACTCGTTCCTGCTTACCACTCTGCCATCTTGGAAGCCCCATACTTCCTTTTAATAATGTTCCATCCACTGTCCTGCTCTGGGGGAATAAAGCCCCTGCTGGTTCCTTACTGAGGTCTCTTTTCCACTACTTCAGTAAAACCTCTAAATGTTTTCAATCCTTTAATCAGGGATAGTTTTCAGTGTCACCCCCTGCCTCTTCAAATAGCAAATAAGATCACTCTGCTTTTGAAACAGCAGAGTTTGAAACCCAAATAGGAGAGGTGATTTGCTGCAGCTGAATAACTATGTTCAGCATTAACTTTTTTCTGGCTGCCACAGTTTATAAACACACACACACACACACACACACACACACAAAATTCCTTCACCCCATGGGACACATACATCATGGGGGCAATACAAGGGACCCAGCTGACCCATATTTACTGCAAACTACTTCACATGGCAAATAAGACACTAACATTAAGAACTTTTTAAGATTTTTAATGAACAAGTTTTCCTGTTTTACCTTGAGGTACCATGGTGAGGGAATTTAAAAACAACAAACAGAGATCATAAATAGACTTATCCTCCAACACTGACCTCATAGCATCTGAACTGGCCCAATGTCACAACAGCAATTGGGAAGGGAGCAAATCCATGAGGGGCACTTACAGCAGCAAGAAATCTAACACAGGATTTGGAGAGAATGCAACAGGAGAAATGAGATAAGTGGAGAGCAGCCACCTGACACTCAGTCCAGCCTCAGGGCAGGAGAACCTGAAGGGCAGGCTGCAGGTGTACTCCTGTCCCTTAACTGAGTGCTCCCTCCTTGTCTGAGCTCTCACCTGTGCCCAGCAGCTTTCTGAATACTTTCCTCCACCCACCTAGGTGACCATATCCCTCCTCTGTCAACTGACAACCTTCAGTGTGCTTATACCAGCTAATAAATCACACCCCTGCTCTTGTATCTGTTTCAGGGGTCCCCCTTACCCTTGGGTTTGCTTTCTAGGATTCCTTCCTCTAGACCCCACATTCTAGCAACTTTGTTCCCAAGACACTGTCCCAGCTGCTTCCTGCTGACAACTCAGTGCTCGTGCCAGACCTCTGCATGGAATGTCCGGCTTCCCCTCAACTCCCATGTGCTTGGGTCCCTTTTGACATGGTGTGTGACTGGGGCAGTGGCTCTATTTTCCCAGCAATTAGTCATCCAGGGAATGGGAGACAGTAACATTCTTTAAAGCGGGGAAGAGACTCCAAGGCAGTATTTCGAGGGTTCAGACTGTGGGTAGGCTTTAAAGTCCTCTTCTATTTACTGCCTGAATGGCTTCAAACAAGGTTTTCCAGTAATCAAAGGAAACGGAACTGGTCATACCCATCTGCTATGGCTGTTGGCAGAGAAAACGAAATCAGGCATAGCTCATCTCCACCAAGGTAAATTCTCTCCTCACCCCCACTGCACAACCTCATCCCAAAATACCACACCCGACACAGCTCGTAACAGCAAGACAATCCTGTGTGCCCAACGTGTTTAATTGGAAGGACAGAATTAAAGGTCAACTCCTGATGACACTCAAACTCCATCCTCACCTGGGAGGCACCATGCCACTTCTGCCTCTTACTTCTTTGGGTGGCAACGCTCCTGGATTTCTTCTGCCAGTGCCAGGCAGTGTAGGATGCGTTTCTTTTCAGCAGCCAGCTCCTTCTCGGGGACCTGGCCCAAGAGTTTCTGGACAAATATATTTTGGTCTTTCAGGAAAATGTTCTTATTGACTCCCACATTTGGGACATTCTCCAGGGACCCAGATTTGAAATGGAAGCTTAAGTATCTGTTCCGCTTCAGGCCAGGCCCTTTCTCTTCAATCCATAACAGCGGACTGTGAAGACAAAAGAATTGTAAGGTGGACATGTGACATGCAAATGCAAATGAGTGCTTGCTTGGCATTTGGGACCCCATTTTGTGCCCATCTTTCTGAAAGCTGTGGCTCAAAGTAGTGACCTGGAGACATTTTGAGGCCTGCCATTTCCCAATGTCCATGGGTGACTTTTTTCAACTTGACAATGATGATGTAACCTGCTAACCAGTTCCCTTTGCCACCTTGCTGTTCTGTAAAGCGCTGACCCCTCCCCACCCCCTGGACTGCTCCACAAAAGATGATAAAATTGTTTGTCCTGATGGAGACATCTTTTCCAAGAAATGACCCACCACAAAAAACCACAACCTTGTACTTGTGTTAAAAAACATTACATACGTGAAAAGTCCCCAGGTCAAGCTGTACCCAAAACTATGCTTGAGAGCTTTCCAAAGGACACCCACCAGCACAAACAACCCCCCTCGCTTTGCGGTTTTTGCCTTCAAAAGTTTCAGACTCCTTTGCTCAGGGTGCTCAGTCTAACAACAGCGTGGGTACCAGCTAAAATAAAGCGCTTCTCTTTTTCTATTTTTTCTGTCTTGTTGTTTTTGAGAGTTGCCGACAGGGCATTAGGGGCAGCAGTCCACTCTTGGAGTCTGGGGTGCCACAAATGAAACAATGCTTTGTTTTTGCCATCAGACAAAGACATTCATAGAATGATGTTTATGCCAATACCAGTTTGTTATTCAGAAGTTTTTACCCTGTATCTTAAGAGCCCTGTAGGAGATCCAGAGAGATAATCATCTGAAAAGCATATAAAGTGCTAAATCTGTGTGTGTGTGTGTGTGTGTGTGTTTGTGCGCGCGCGCGCGCGTGTGTATGTTTTAAAGATTTTTTTTTAAAGTTCTTTGATCAGATTCTTAAGAAGTCTCTGCCCGAAAATACTCTGGTCAACCTAGCACCTGCATTTCCAGTTCAGATTTCCCCTCCAGGCACATAGTTACACTCCTACAAATCTAACATCCAGGCAGGATAAACTTCTCTTCTTCACAGTCGTTTCTCTAAGTTGTTTCTTTCTTTATAGCATATAACAGCTAGTATCTGCTTATGGGAAGCTGTGAAATTTTCTCCTAAGTAGATTTTCACCTAAAGTAAAGAGCTTCCTTGACTATATGAGAAAAATACATCAATCTACTCTTGTTATTTATTTACTTGTTCATTCATTCATTTCATAGTGCATTTCATAGTGCAAACTCAAAGCTTTTACTAGATAACTAAGTGCTTTACCACATCCCCAGTCTTGCCCTTCTAAATATATCTAAAAACTTCATAGTATTAAAAACTTTTAAAATGAAAGAGAAAACCCATAGGTTCTTCTCTTAAAGCATCTGCAGTTTAACACCCTTGGTTCAAATTATCTCTCTATATGTATATATGACATATAAGCTATAAAGCCACAATTTTAAAATTATGCTTCTTCTGCTTATTTTTAAGCATGTTTGTGGTCTTACAGATGTTAAGATAATTAGTTCTGTATATGATTATATAATTTATTTAATAATTTATTATTGTCAAATATCTAAGCTCCAATTATTGAATTAATGTGGATATCCTGCATTCAACATCTTCACATAGATAAACACACATATGTCTTCTCCCCTTCTAAGGACAGAGTCCTAGGAATGAAATGATTTGGTTTTGCTCTCTGGTTACTTCTCTTTGCTTCTTCCTCTCTTTTTTTAACCCACAGGGATGAACCAGGGTCAAGGGCAAGGGAATTTGGTTGGACCATGGAGCTCAGTGGTAGAGCTCTTGGCAGGAATAGGAACGGTGTTAAAGCCTAAGCAGACATCACCCTGAGGTCTGGGATTTCCCCTCCTCTCCTGTTTGGCTTTGCTGGTGAAAGCTGGGGCAAGCAGGTGAAATCAATAACACTAAGGATATGGGAAACTACCTTCGCCCTTTTCTGTTACTTGCTTCCAGAGTGCTGGGTTGTGAGGTGTCAGATTGTGTAAAAAGGCACAAAAAGGCCACTTGAGAACATGTTGGGCATTTGGAAGACTGACTCCCCCATTCTGGGTGTGATGCATCATTTTAGGGGTCAACGTGACTGGATGAAGGAATACCTAGGAACATGGCAAAGCATGACTGCGGGCTGTGTCTTCTTCACCTCGCAGCGTGGCTGGGCCAGGAAATCAGGCAACATTACTGACACCGTAGCTCTCTGCAGAAGCAAGAAGCTCTCTTGGGGTAGAAGGGACCCTCTGAACTAATCCTCATGGACACCTGAGGGGCCCTGACAATTCCAGGGTCTCTCACGACTTACCATTTGTTCTTGGTCTCCAGGGACACAGTCATTTTCATATACTGCTCTTCCTTGCGCTCTTCCAGAGTGGCAGACACGAGAGAAAGCTCCCCAAAGAGAGCCACCAGCCAGGTCAGGCGAGAGATGCCGCTGAAGGCAGGGAAGCCAAACCGCTCTTTTTCCAGGGGGGCAGCTGCAGGGAACCACAAAAGTATGTTCTGTGTGCTCTGGAGATGTATAGAAATGTCTGCCACTCCAAGCACCCACCTCCCAGGCCTTTTAAGAGTTTTCACATAAAACCTACTGTAGATGAATGATATCCAACTGTCAAGATTTTTATAAGGGAAATTTCTGCCTAATAGATTGGTGCAGAATAAAAAGATGCTTCAGATCTTATACATATTTTACCTAAGATCCCCAAAATTCGCCTCACTTAAGGAAAGAATAAAATACATGTTTTCACTGTCCATATAAGCATGGAAACAGTAAAACTGGCCCTGAGTCAGAAGGTCTCTAGCAGAAATGCCCCACGCTAGAAAGAGGATAGCTGGTCTCCAACCTCACGTGTGACCTGTGACTCTGCACACAACGGACCTGTGAAGAGAAGGGACCCTTTCAGGAGTTCTTTCCCCACCACTTCTTTTTTCAGGAATGCAAATTCCTCCATCAAGAGTTCCACATGCTCTTCATGCAGGACTTTTCCTGTCAGGGCAAAAACAGAATAAAGAATCAGTCGTCACCAGATGTGTCTAGCTGTGCACCCTGAAGATTATATCTGTCTTCCTCCTGGACAAGACATACAGCAATTACAATGCTAGGGACAGGTGCTAGAAACACACACACACACACACACACACACACACACACACACACACACACACCAGAGAAGGTGGCCCTGAGTTTCTGTTTACAACAGAAATGAAAATCTGTGATGAGGTCCACCTGTCCCCAAGGGTAACTTGATACCAAGGAGGTGCCTGAGGCACCAGGGTGTAGAGCTGTATCCAGAACAGCAGAGGGCAGTGCAAGACAAAAATAACCTAAGACAAGCAAAGAAGAAAAGAACCTCCACAGACTAGGGATAGGTCCTAACAGGATTCTCCATTCAAGAAACTGGCACAACAGGAGGATTATAAAATGACCCTCCCTTCAATGAGCACAGTGCCTTAACATTCGTAACTAGAATGTTGGATTCTTTAAGGGAGTTGTAAAAAATGTTTTGGCCTGGAAGCTTTTTCCTATCCAGGCTGGAAGCATCATAAAATAAGCTATAGACAGGGAGAGAACAAGTCAGCATCTCCCGAGAATCAGCTGTGCTGGAACTTGGGGGACTGACCAGAAAAGCAATGAGCCAGCCTTCCTGATAAGTGGCGCAAGCTGCGGGCACGCAGGGGAGAGAATAAGTCAGTGTCTCCTGTGGACCTAACCTATAGGAGCACAGGCTGAGAATCAAACATCCAGTCCCCACCCCTCCCCGCCACCCCCACCCCACCCCGCGCAGCCTTAGCACCTGTGCGGTTTTGAGGTCAGCTGGAGTTGATAGCAACCGAGGTACATAAAGCAACCAAATGCTTGTGGTGTTTGGTTGATTATGCTGACCTGGGACCAGAGGTCTGAGCATCTCTTGGGAGGATGACAGAAGGCAAGAGAGCAAATATGGGGAATTTTCTTCTATCTTGTTTTGAAGGCCAATATTGTTTTGACTGTTTTGCTTTGCTCTAATTAATTGCTTTGCTCTATTCAGTATTCTGTTTGATTGGCTTTATAATGTTCTGTTTTTGGTTTGATTTTGTTATGTCTCATTGAATAGACAACTATTATGAAGATAACAAGATATACTATGGAACCTATTACTTTTGTTCTGGTATCCTGCTCTGAAGTTCTGTACCAGTTTCACTGCATTGTCTTGATTGGCTTTGTTGTCTTGCTTTGTTGTATTTTACTATCATTAAAATAAATTTTAAAAAATAAGCTATAGAAAATCCCTGCTGCTACACTGGGTTTGAGTATCTCTTGTCCCTACTGACTATGATGTTTGGTCCCCAAGTAGGAGCTGGGAGGTGGGGCCTCGTGGGAGGTGTCTGGGCCCCAGCAGTGGATAAAACTTTCTCGCATGAGTGGGTTCTAGCTCTCAAAAGATGGGCTCAGCTCTGGTAAGAGTTCACCCCTTTTCTCTTTGATTGTGTCAACTTTTCTTTCTCTTTTTCTTCATGGAGCAGCAGGAGGTTTTCACCAAAAGCCACTAAGGTTGCCCCCTGATCTGATACTTCTGGCCTCCAGAACTGTGAGATAAACCTCTTTTCTCTTTTCTTTATTCTTTTTGTATCAGGAATCAAACTCACAGCTTCACACTTGCCAGGCAGGTGCTGTGCCACTGAGCTATATCCCTGGCCTCCATAAACCTCTTTTCTTTATAAATCACCCACACTGAAGTGTTTTGTTATAGCAACAGAAAATAGACTAGAATACCCACAGCCAAGGGTTTTTAGATTCAAAATATGAAGTGCTTAAGAGAGTTCCCAAGTTTCTGACATATAGTATGCACTTAACAGTCATTCCTATTGTGAAATAATAAAAACTATGATATGTGTACAATGACTAGGACCTAGGCATTTTTCCATTAGCAAAAAAAGTATTGTGTGTTCTGACCCTACTACAAGTGGAAATGAATCTTATTTTTTTTCATCAGAGGAGTGGATAATAATAAGCTTTGGTCAAAGCTCTGCAAACCCTCACCCATCCTTCTGCCTTCCCTGCACCCTACTATGTGTGCTACCGAGTGGGGCACTGTGTGCCTGAGATGGATTGGGATTGAAAAGGCATAAAGAAGAAAGAAGGAATCCCAGAGCAGAGACCCCTAGGAGAAAGGTCTGCTCAGCAGACGGAGCATACGTCACCTTTCTGTTTGGCCAGGGCCCACAGCTCCTGAGCTGCCGCCAGCGACAGCGTCATTGGGTACTCGACGAGGACATGCTTGCCAGCATCAAGGAACTGCCTTTGGGAAAAGAGAAAAATACAGAGAAAAGACGCTCCCGGTCAGCTTCACTAGGGCACTGTGTGACACAGAACAGGAGACGCTGTGCTCCTGGGCATCAGGATGGAGGTGGGACGGGGAGGAAGAGTCCCATCTCACGTTATTCTGCACTCCCCAGTGATAGAACCATGTCTAGCTACAAATTAATCTGAATATTCATCCAGTTACTGTTTTCAACTAAGTGCTACTTACTCCTATTTACCAGTTACTCTAGAAAGGAAAGATAAATTAACAAGTCATTTGTTATAGTTAACAGCTTTAAAGACTATAGAAACCACCATGGTTAGTGCTGCCTGAAGAAGTCTGACAAGATTTCACTCATGACAAGTGAATTGGGTCTCGAAGGATGTGTAGAAGCTTTCCAGGGACAGCTCTGAGCAGCAGGTGCAGGGCTTTGTTCATTTGCAAATTTCTTTGTGGCAGGGGAAGCAGGGAAACAAGGCTTTAGCTTGGGACCTGGCTGCAAAGCACCTAGAATGCTGTCAGGAGTCTGGGCTTAGGATCTCGATATCAGGGTAGGAGCATTTATTTATAAGCAGAGGGTCACATGATTGCTTTTTGTTTTAAGGAAACTTAGTCCAGTGCAGGGAGAGTTTTTATCCATTCCAGAGCCAGACTGATGAAGGGTGGGGTCCCCTCTGACCACAGCAGGGTGGCAGCTGTGGCCTAGTGTGAGAACCTGGAGCGAAAGCTGTGATTTGCTCCTGGGGTTGCTCCTTCCTGGGGTGCCTGGTCCCACTGAGGCGTCCCCTCCTGCACAGTGCCCAAAAGACACTTGATGAGCTCTGGGCTTCACATTCAGGAGGTAAGAAAGGGCCTCTGTGTTCTCCTGCTGTTCTACACAGTGTTGTTTCCTGTCTTCAATGATACGACTATGTCCTTGGCTCGTTTACCTTGTGAAAAGTCATTTCCTAGCAAAGGGACATTCCAAGACATTGAAAGTACAAAGACCAGATGTTGGGACTCTATCCTAAGCTGTGTGATGAGAAGGAGGGATCTCTGTTCACACTGCTCTTACTGAGTTTTTCACACACAAATAAACCCTAATTCTTAATGTTTCTAATATTTCAAATGATAGCACACTAACCAAATTTTTACCTATAGTTTCCACTTCGTAGACATTTAAAACTGACAATAAGAACTTTTCAATGTTTTGACAATTATTTTGATTTCCAAATTGTTTAGTAGTGCTGGGTGGGCATCGAACCCAGGGCCTTGCACACGCTAAGCACACACTCCAGCATGGCACTGCACCCCTCCCTGATAACAACTTTTAGGTTTTTTTTGTTTTTTTTTTTTTTTCCTTTTTATCGGTACCAGGGATCGAACTCACGACTGCCTGCTTACAAGGCAGGCGCTTATGCCGCTGAGCTAAACCCCCAGCCCTTCCTGATAACAACTTTTAAAACCACAGAGTGATCACAATTTCCCCCTTGACTACCAAGATCCATGTGAGGGTCTGAGGGTGTGCGGTCATTCCTACCTGATGTGACCCTCGTGACTGGCACTTTCGCTGCAGATGTAGGCAACCTCAACCTCCGGGCTGGAGAGAGCATCCTCCAAAGAAATCTGCTGAACTCCATCAATGTTCCCAAGCTCCCGTCTGTTTCTCAGTACAACAACAGCCACAAATGGAATACAGAAGCAGGCAGAGGGGAAGGAGAAATGAAAATGATTAAGATGCAATGTGTACGTGCATCAGCTCACCAAGGTGAACGTGTTTGCTGTGTATGGCTAATATATACGAATAAAAAGGTAGCTAACAAATAAGTAAGCATCATCCTTCTCCCCTCCTCCCAATGGTGGCCTCGTGACCAGCTTTTGGAAAAGAAGAAATGAATGTTTCTCCCATTGCCAGAATGTTTCCACTGGGGAGAGAGAAAAAACCATCAGGGCTGAGGTGAGGGGACCTGGCAGCAAGTACTCACACTCCCACTCACAGCATGGAGGACCTGAGTCTTTGGAAGACCTCCTTTCTACAACAAGAATAATGTGTCCTTATGTCATGAGAAGTGATCTCTATGTCACTTCTAGTTTCAAGTATTTGGTTCCACACTGTGACAAAGAAACCTAATATGATTGCAAGAGTGGACATGCCTGGGCTCCAAACTGCCAGGAGTTCACAAACTTCCAGGCCAAGGGACCATCAAGGGGAAGGTGAGGGTCCCTGCCTCCTGCACAGCCGATCTAGCCAAGTCCAGAGAGTGTGACTGTCACAGCTGTAGAAGAGCCTACGCCATGGCAGCCATACCACGCCACAGTGCTGAGGCTGGAGGATAGCAGTCACACACAGTGGTCACGGCAGCATGGGGTGGTCAGCAGGGGGCCTCCAGCCTACAGCAGCTGCAGTGGGCAGTGCGTGCTGGAGAAGCTGGGCTCCCAAAGGACACTGTGCCAGGTTCCTTCCCATGGGTTGCTTTACCCACAAATACTTTGTGTTTATCTGCAGTATGCCAGGTACTGTAGGAGAAATCATAAAGAATAAATTAAAATTCTCACCTTCCAAAGAGCTCACATTCTGGTAGAGGGAGGACTAGAGACACATAAAGCCCTGATAACATGGTACTGTGCACAGTGCTCTGGGAAGTGGTAAAGCACACAATTCATAGAGCAGCAGTGGCAAATCTTTTAGAGCTTTCTAATGATACAAACAGCCCGTAGTGGCACATGTGCCATATGTTTGGCACCACTGGGGCCAAACTTTCTGGGGAGGTGGCTGAACCCAGAAAGTCTGTTGTGGGGAATCTGGGACTCAGTCACCCTGAGCTGGGGGTCTGGGAGCTCCCTCTGTATCCAGCCCAGTGACAGAAAACTGGGGCTCCAGGAAGAAGAAAAGGTCCCACCTTCCCCCCTAAGAGCAAGTGCTGAGCGCATCTCAGCGTCTGATGGGTGCAGGTGAATGCACTAGCTCATAAAAACTGAGGTTTCTCCATCCTGTTCACCCTTGGAATTTTCCAGGGAGAGGACTGGCCCAGAGCAGAGCCAGGCCCTTCTGGGCTCCCTCATGTCTTAAAGCCACTTCAATCCTTCAAATAGAGACTGGGCTTTGAGGCAAGCAGACTGGAAGAAAATGATCTCAGGAATTAAAATATAAGAAAAGACCACATTGACCATCACAATAGCTGCTTATGTTTTGCAAAAATAATTATCTGTTATCTCTCAAGTACTAGAAAATAGCAATTTGCCTAAACTGCTCACTGCACATCTCCACCCTCAGCCTAGCATCTGCTGGGGTGCAGCTCACAATGACTATTCATAAACCATGTTACACAGGATTAGGCTGGAGAATAGGGGTGTATGTACGTGTGTGTGCATGTAGGTGAGGGGAAGATTTGAGTATGGGACAGTGAGGAAGAAACAGGGTAATAAATTTGGTTTTCTTCAAGTTATTGAAAACAAATGAACTCTTAAAGAAAAGAGGGGCTCAGCTGGGCATGGTGGTTCATGCCTATAATCCCAGCAATCTGGGAGGCTGAGGCAGGAGGATCACGAGTTCAGACTCAGCCTGGGCAATTTAGGGAAACCCTGACTCAAACAAATACATAGTTCAGGGATGAGGCCTTAGCTATGTTTAATCCCCAGGACCACAAAATAATGAAGAAGAAGAAAAAGAAGGAGGGGGAGGAGGAGCAGAAGGAGGAGGAGGAGAAGGAAGAAGAGGAAGAAGAAGAGGAGAAGGAGGAAGAAGAAGAGGAAGAGGAAGAGGAGAAAGTAAAGGAGGAGGAAAGGGAGGAAAGGAGAAGGAAGAAGAATGGGAAAGGAAAGAAGAGGAAGAGAAAGAAGAAGAAGGGTGGAGGAGGAGGACAAGGAGGAGGAGGCGGGACAGGAGAAAGAGGGGATTCAAAATTACCAATGGAAAAAGAACACATAGTGTTTAAAAGCTGGGCTTTGGAATCCAGCAGACTCGTTTTCCAATCTGCCCAATAGTAGAGTCCAATAGTAGAGTCTTCCAACTATGTGACCCTACACCACTGACTCAGCCTTACTGTGGCTCAGCTTCCTTCTCTGTAACTGGGGTTCATGAGAATCTTAGAATGACCTACTGCATGTAAAGCCCAGGGCCACCACAAGGACGGCCACTCTGGTGACAGGTGTCACAGCTGACACACACTGTGTCAGGCCCACCCAGCAAGTTGCTGGCTGTGCCCCTGCTGTAAGGCGCAGGCCCTGTCCTGCCTTCCCTGCTCTCCTCAGCAGCAGCCTGCTTGCTGGCCCTAGATCCATCCAGAGCTAAGTTCACGGCTTCCCCCCGCCCCTCCCTGGGTCAGGAAAATCTCCATGTTCCGGAGCCTCATCTCTCACTGTGCTTATGGTGAGTGACGAGGCCCAGAGCAAGGGTAAGCACCTGGACACGAAGCCAATCAGGTTCAGGAACGCCGAGGATGCATGTGGACTCCGCAGGTCCCTCATTCGCAGGGAGCCAGCTCTGCCAACACCAACCACCACCACGCCAAACTTCCTCTCAGGCTGAAACACAGGGCACCGAGACGGGCTTTGAGAACAATCCAGGCATCTCACAGAGACAGCAAACCACAGGGCTAGCCAGGGTATCCATGAGCGACAAAAGCAGCCAGCCCAGGACACACAAGGAGCCACCAGGTGTGCCAGGTACAGAAGCCCCAATCTGTCATTCCATCACTCTGGGGGGGTGATGTAGGTGGACTATAAATTCAAGGCCAGCCTGGGTGAATCAGTAACTTAGCAAGATCCTGTCTCAAAATAAAATATTAAAAAAAAAAATAGAGGGCCAGCGATGCAGCTTAACGTGAAGGGCAGGCTGGACTCACACTTGCAATCTTCCTGCCTCAGTTTCCCAGACTGCGTGGGATTACAAGTATGAGCCACCATGTCTAGCTCAAGTCCTCTTTATAAAGGGACACACTAACTCAATATAATCCAAATAGATTTTAAACATCTTCAGTAATCTACATCCCTCAAACTCTGTATCTGAATGTCTCTGCCAGACAAGGGTCCTGTGTCACCTTTGGGACCCAGCCACGACTGCTCCCCACTGCTCCTGCCCCTCTTCCTTTGCCCACTGCTCCAGCCTTGGCCCAAATTTCTTCTAAGTGTTTGGGGAATTTCTGTATGTTTTTCTATTACTGATCTTTCATGTAATTCCACTGTAGTCGGAGAACACTCTTTACATGACGTGAATCCTTTTAAAAGTATCGAGACATGCTTTATGATCCAGGACAGGGGTATCTTGGAGCTACAGTTTAAATATGGGACGTTCTCACTGATCACTGTGTGAAACCTCCAAAACAATGAGCTAAAATAATCCTTTTCTCCTTGTAAGTTGATTGATTTCAGGGGTTGGTTATAGCAGCAGAGAGCTGACGTATACGCTCAGTGGTATTCTGGGCACACTAGTAAAGGACATGCATCCTGCTGGTGCTGACTGGGGCCTTGCTCAAATCCTCTGGTCAAATTGGCTGATGTTTCTGTTAGGTTTTCTATATCCTTGCTTATTATTCTCTAATTGTTATAACAATTCCTGAGAAGAAGTGAAACCTATAAAAGTAATCTTATTACAGGCTTGTGTATTTCTTCTTTCTATCGTTTTGTACCCACGCACCTTAAAATTGTTAGTAGGTACACACTTATTAGATGGGTATGTCTTTGTTATTAACTCTGTCATTGTAAAATGACTATTTTTGTTCCTGGTGTTATTTTTTGTTCCTGGTGTTATTGTTCTTGCCTGTAATTTATTTTGTCTGACATTAATGATTCACTTTCAATTTCCCCTAATTAATGTTAGCATGGTACATTTTTTTCCCTATCTTTTTTTTTTTTTTTTTTTTTGTCTTTTTCCTTTTTATCGGTACCAGGGATCGAACTCACGACTGCCTGCTTGCAGGGCAGGCGCTTATGCCGCTGAGCTAAATCTCCAGCCCCTTTTTTCCCTATCTTTATTTTTAATCCATGGATGGTTTTATACCTAAAGTGAGTTTTTTACAGGAAGTATCTAGCTAAATGTTCTTTTTTGATCTTGCTTAATAATCTTTGCCTTTTAATTACAGTGTTTACAAGACAATTAACATTGCAGTTATTGCTATGGCTGAGTTTTAATTGAAACTCAATCCAAATCTCCCTAATTTATCCAATCTGTTCTTATTTCTCTCTTCTGCCTTTTAAAATTAAGAGTTTTTTAATAATTCTATTAGCAATAACTTTTAGAGATAACTTTAAGGCATTTTCCTGGATATATTTTAATTAACACAGTCTACCTTGAAGTAGTTTTATACCATTTCACATGTAAGAGCCCTGCAATAGTATACGTCCACTTTCTCCCTCTTGAGCTTTGTACCATTCTTACACAACTGACTCTACATGTGTGGTAAACCCCATGAGACACCAATCAGATTTCAGTCTGGAAAAGAGAAATCAGTCATATAGCACTCCACAGCAAAAGCCTGTTCTGAGAAATGCATTGTTAGGTGATTTTATCCTTGCGGGACCATCACAGAAGGTATTTACACAGACCTCAATGGTACAGCCTACTGCACACCCCAGCTATACAGATGCATGCAGTCCATCACTGGATAGAATGTCGCCAGGTGTCACACAACTGTATTCTAATATAAAGAAGTCTAACAGGGA